ACGATTTTCAGAGTGATGTTTTGGAAGTCAAAATTCCTGGTATATGGCATTTACTTCTGTATATTATAATGTTTATGCACACTACATATATTAATAACCCAGTTTTCATGGTATCTTCTGGGCATGAAATAACTGTCTCCCTTGGCAGACTTTGAGCTCTGTTCCAGTAACATTGTTCAGTATTCCTGTGGCAACAAGATCTACCTAGCCTACAGCTATTGCCCTACCCACACCTCCTAATTAATTGACAACTGGAGAGTCCCTTTCTTATGTTAACAAACTAGCCATTGAATCTATTATTTCTATCTGATAAAGTTGACTTTGATCCACAAAAGCTAAAATACAATTAGTTTGAAGAGGTAGCTATGTTAGTCTGTGCTAACATACCAGGCAAAAACAAAAGAAAAACTTAAAATAGGAAGGAACAACATTGTGCCATCTTAAAAACAAACTGCTATATCTTAATGTGAGTTTTCAGTACATGGAGAAGTCTACTTCCTCCAGTCTTTAAGGTGCCACAATGTTTTTGTCTTCCATTAAAAAAATGTTGTTTTTGCCTGATATAAAATTGTTGGTCTTTAAAGTGCTACAATATTCTGTGGTTTCCTCCCCCAACGCTTTTTTCTCTTTCTTTTTTCCTTTTCTTTTGTCAACTTGCTGAGACAGGCTATTTCTTTTTTAACTGCTACAAGAATAAAATGATATTTTCCAGCATGATATTTTCATCACAGCCTATCCAACTGAATGAAAGCAACAGGAGTCAGAGAGTATCTACCTGGAATCAGAAGGGGGCTACCCAATGCACACCATTCCCCAAGACACTCTCTGTTGGAGTTTATTTAGCAAATGAACATGCAAGCCAAGTGCATGATCACCTGAAAGGAAGGAAAATGTTTATATTGCCTATTGGGTAGTTAGTTTGATGTCCTCTTCCTCTCGTTGAACAAATTTCCCACCTTTTGTTTGTTGGGCAAAGGGAACCCCTTCTTTTTCATTTAAATTGTTTACTGCCTTTGTTCAGGCACACACATTCCAGAAGTCTTTGGGACAAGACAGAAGGATGACGCTCCGCTGAGCTTCTCCTCATGGCCCCCATGTTTCTTTCCTCAAGCCATGCAGTCTGAGAGAAACCTCTTTTTTATTTTTTACTATCTTAACTTTTTTAATCCTTCTTGCTAACCTCTTAAGTACCTGATATTGTTTATTTACTATTGCAATTTTCTGAATCAAGCTTCAGCTTACAATTTGCAAGTTATTGCTGTGAGTAAAGATCTTCGTTCTTTTTACCTTAAAACAATGTCTTTATTTTTGCCTTAAAGCAGAGTAATTACTTTAAGCTGGTATACCTATGATGTGGGATGAGTATATATATTTTGGCACTTGCTGATTCAATTCCAACCCGAAGCTATGCTAACCTCCCACACTGTGCAGTTAAGGGAATGACATTCCTCTCTGGTGTAACTACAAGTCCCATTATCCTTATGCAATACTCTCACCCCCCCAAAAAAACAAAAGGAAAGAAATCCAAACAACATTTTTAAAGTAAACAATGTGGAAAGTGAACCATCTTTCTTCTACTTAAGTCTTTCACAGGATTGCTAGGTCAGCAGCATCCCATGTCCTGAAACTTCACGGCCAAAACCTGGACAAGAGGGTAGGACATTTATGTTGTCACCAGGAGGCTCTTATTGCCTTTGAGATGTCAACAGATACAAAGCAGGCAGAAGTTGCAAGCAGGATTGCGACTGCTTTGGGGGTGGCAGGTTTGGGAACAAGGAGGAGGTGATCCAGACAAATGGCCCCAGAATTTGAGTAGAACCAAGTACAATGGCAACCCACTCTGGCCTGAGGAAACCATCAGCTGCAATTCTACTACTCCCGGTATGGCTCCAGCCTATTGCCAGGGCTTATGCTGTTGCGAAGGCTCATGAGCCACAAGACTCACACTCCACTTCTTGCCTTGTTCCAAATTGTGCAAAGCACCCAAATGCATGCACCCCCTGGCTGTCTCATCCTTCCCTCTGCCTTGCTCCTGAGTGTTTAGTGTAAAAATGCTGTGCAAGCATGACACACATGCAAACATCTTCATGCTGAGTCAATGAATCCTGACATCAGTTTGTGCCAGGACTCAAAAACAAACAAACATAAACATTTCCTTCTCTACTGCTGCTTGCCCTGACATTTGTTTCACTGGCTAGAAAAGCAGAACAGTTCCCTGAGACCTCAGTAAGCACCCCAGTCCCTAGCAATCCTATCTACAAGAGACCAAGTTGTGCAAACAGCCACACTGCAGTGAAAAAGGACGCACAAGCAGGAGCTGCAAGGGGCAACAAAATGCTCCAAATTCAGGTGCCCCAGGCTGAAGATACTGGAAGAAGAAGTAACATGGCAAGGAAGGTGGATAAATGCGATCCATCTTTGGCAGGACAACAGGATACATGCAGTCCTGCTGCCTGAAATGGAAGGCAAAGTGCCTCCCCCAACACTCTGATGCTGCCTCCCAAACACTGTGTCCCAAACATTGTGTTCCCCCACCCCAAAATTCCAAAACGTCCTCTGCAAAAGAAAGAAAATGAGGACACTCCCACGGCAGCGACTATTCTTCCTCCTACTGGAGAGAAGACACAATATACCACCAGTAACTCCCGTATCCTGTTCCCCAGAAAGAGAAGCATGGACTGGCAGTGGCTGCAATAATGACTATGACTACTCAGATTATGTGGAGGGAGAGAGTGTGATGACCACTGCCACCAAAGGTGCCTCTGCTTTCAAAAACCTGGCTCTGAGGGTCCTTAAAGCCTGGCCCCTGGGTGCTGCAATAAGGGGCTCTTCTTATGTTGCCGCCCAGGCAATTTTGTTAGACACTGCTGGCAGTGGGCCTCAGAAAAGAGAGCTGTAGCAGCCCTCACACTTTATTGCCACAGAGTCATCGTTGACCTTACCCCTTTTGGGGCGCAGCACGAGGTCACTGCAGCTACAAGGTATACTTACCATCTCTGGCAGGTAGGGGATGGCACTGTTGCCATGGCAACCTTATCTTTCTTTCACAGAGATACTCCAGGGAAGGAAATAATGAAGTAGCCTCTGTGCAGTTTTATGGAGCAACGGCAGCGCTCCAGAGCCCTAGAGGATGAAGGAATGCCGAATTTGCTGCCCATGTCACCTACCCATCTGAGGGAACCTTTCACCCTGGCTAACCGCAAGGCTGGCCCTCCCTCTCAGTACAATCATGGTTTCAGTACTGCCATCTCAAGTACATGAAAGGCCAATCGGTCAGCACTTAACCCAGACCTGGGCAAAGTGCGGCCCGAGGGCCACATACAGCCTGCGAGCCTCTCCTGTTCAGCCCGCCGGTCATTGCTCCAGTCCGATGTTCAAGCACTTGTTCAAGCCCAAGAGAGACTGGATTTCTCTCAGTGAACAATTTGAACATCAAAACCATTTATAGCTTTTTGTCTAAAGTTGATCAGTTGCTTATCTTTAACATACCGCAAAAAAACCCTTTAGTATTTGTGAAGATTAACAAGTTTAAAATAAAAACAACCATAACATCACTGTTCCATTTTATTTTTAAGTAAAGTTGGTTCGGCCCCCGAACACAGTTCAGATTTTTCTTGTGCCCCCCTATAGAAATTAATTGCCCACCCCTGACCTAACCAGATCACATGTAATGGCTCCCCTTGCACAATCTTTGGCTGGGAGAATTGTCTTTTCGAACTGTCTGCTTCCAAAATACTCTCATCCACATAAAAGAAGCATGTTTCGGGGTGCAGGTGGGGGTGGAGCAAGCACCATGACTGAAGTAAGCCTGAGTAACTTGTCTCCTTGGTTTTGCAACTAATAAGCCTGCTCTTCAAAGGGAGACAAAGGGAAAGGGGGCAAAACTTTACCCCCATTCTCCTCATGACTCAAGGGCCACTTCACCTCTTGATTCACCCAGGACAGCTTCTGGAGAAAGGCCTTGCAGTCTGGGTCCTGAAGTTTTAAAATCTGTTATTCTGAATGCTGTAGTTGCTATGAGTGTTGTTTTTTCCTGAAATAATATTTGTTTTCAATATTTGATATGCTATTTTGTACCTTAAATTGTTCTTATGTGTATTCCTTCACTCTCAGCACAGACTGTCTCCCAGAGTGCACAAGACCGTTTCTCACAGTTTTTAAAATAAAATAAAATAAAATAAAAGGTGACTCAGTGTGCCCAGAATAGTACTGTCTGTCTCTCCAAAAGAACATCCATGAGGCCAGGGGAAACCAGGCTGGCCCTGTGCGTCAGCCAGAGAATTACCAGCTTAGGGATTGAACTGGCTTTCCCCATCGCCACCCGAAAGAATGCTCACCTCCACCTGGCAGTTTATGGAGGCCAAAGGAAGCACATCATACCCATCAGTTAAGGGAGAGAGCACAGGTGCTCAATTTCTAGCTATAATTGTAAATTCCTAGAAGCTGACAGAAAGGCAAGATATAAGTATCTCAAAGATAGACGGAAGGAATCTCTCCCTCAGGTCAGGCTATGGAATTTACTTTGAAATTAGTATATAATTGCCACCTCAGCCATGTCAACTCTACTGCTTACTTTCTGTGCTGGTTTGAGAAACTATTTACATATAATTCATTTATTTGTCATATTTATATCCACTTTTCTTCCTATGAGCCCAAGACAATATTCATGGTCCTCCTCCCCACTTTATCCTCACAAAAATCCTGTGAAGTATGTTAGTTTGAGAGAGAGAGTATAACGAGCCCAAGGCCACCCAGTAAACAGTAGATTAGATTAGGCATCCTTCAGTCTCGAGAGACTATGTGCTCTGTATGAAGGACTTGGAACCGCATCTAGTGTGGCTGAGAAGGCCAATTTGAATGTGACAATCCCTTCCATGCTAAGGACAAATACAATCGGTTCCCCTGTCCAGCTCCCTGATTTTACTGTTTTCGGGATGGCCTCTTTGCCACTCGGCCTGCTGGACAAGGGTCTCTTCAAATTGGGAGAGGCCGTGATGCACCGCCTGTCTCCAAGCTGAACGCTCGGAGGTCAAGGTTTCCCATCTGTTGAGGTCCATTCCTAAGACCTTCAGGTCCCACTTACAGATATCCTTGTATCGCAGCTGTGGTCTCCCTCTGGAGCAATTTCCCTGCACTAATTCTCCATACAGGAAATCTAACTGTCAGCCATTCTCACGACATGCCTAAACCAACGGATGTAGACGTCACTGTTTCAGTAATGCATACATGCTAAAAAATCCAGTTTGATCTAGGACTACTCTGTTTGGAATGTTGTCCTGCCAGGTGATACTAAAAATGTGTCGGAGACAACGCATATGGAACATGTTCAGCTTCCTCTCCTGCCATGCACAAAGGAGTGTACTCAGGACACAGGCTCTATAGACCTGGATCTTGGTATATGCTGTCAGCTTCTTATTAAGCCTTACTCTCTTTGTGAGTCTTGAGAACATGGTAGCCGCTTCGTCAATCTGTTTGTCCACCCTAGGGAGAGGGTGTCAAAGATCGAGCCAAGGTACTGTACACAAAGCACACAAGGTACACAACTTAATAGCTGAATGAGGATTTGAATCCAGATCAAAAGTCTAACCCTATACCACACTGGCTGCTTAAAACTAGGTGTCAGAGAAAACATATATTCCTTATGATTTCCCCATCGCCAAAAGAATGCTCACCTCCACCTGGCAGGGTAGAGAATTCCCACAATGGGAATTCCTCAAAGAAAAGTGCCTTACCCATTGGACTTGCAAATTAAGCCCACGTTTACCCTCTAAAGGCCAATTATAAAACAAAGCACGGCGATGCTTCAACTTACAAAGATCCCTACTTATGACCATTTCAAGTTATGACCAGCTCTGGCCATAAAATTTTGCTTCTACTTGCGACCGGAGCTTCCACCTATGAACAGAAAAAGGCAGGGGGGAAAAGGCCGTAAATTCAAATTTCTAATTGTAGGTGGCAATGAAGCTGCTTCTTTGTAGCAGTTAGTGATCGTGTGTTGAAGAGGCTTGGGATTGCCTCCTTCTGCTTCTGAGAGCATGTGTATGTGTTTGCACGGAGGCTTCGGGCTGCCTTGTAAGGTAAGTTGCTGTTTTCTGCTTTTTAAAAATTGTTCTGGTGTTTTTGCAGCGTGGTTTTGAGCTGGGGGTTATGTTTCTGTGCTGTGCTGGGTCTTAGGGGTTTGTTTTTTGGCTTCCCCCCCTTTCCGATGGGTCTTGGGGGGTTTGTTTGTTTTTTGGCTCCTCCTCATTTCCGATGGGTCCTGCATGCTTCCCTTGCTTTTTCTTTTATTTTCTTTGCATTTCCTACCTGCCCCCTTATTCTCTGTGCATTTCCCATCTGCTCTGTTTGTTTTCTGTGCATTTCCAATGAGTCCTGCATGCTTGATTGCTTTTCTTCCCCCCCCCTTCGGCCAGAAGGGATTAATCATGTTTCCAATGAGTCTTGCAGTGATTTTTTTTGGTGATTTTGTTCTTCTGCCGGAACGGATTAATTGCATTTCAGTGCATTCCTATGGGAAATGGTGCTTCGACTTACAACCATTTCAAGTTACGTCCATCTTCTGGAACGGATTTTGGTCGTAAGTGGAGGCACCACTGTATACTAAATGTAAGATGTGTAGATGAGGAATATATCACAACGGCATAAATCTTTTACTACATGAGGAACAACATTTCTAATAATGGGATAAACATATTATCAAATTTATCCCAGAGATGTCAAGGCAGGCATTCTTATATACAGATGCAGTGGAGTTGGAATAATGCTGCCACCTTTTGGCAGAGATAGCTTTTCAAAGCCAAGAGGATGAGCACAAGTTTCACATAAAAACTGACATGCTTTTCTTTTGGAGGAGACCCTTTGAACAATAGGTCACTACCTCATCATCCATAACAACAGGCTCTTATCTTCCTTGCTATGTATGAATGACCCCACATGAGTTTACCCAGCAATGCTGTAATCAGGCTGGATGCCTTCACATGTAAGCAGAAAGCTAATTCTCTGATTTCTGGCATCCATTGAAAAAGAACAGATGGCATTACAAAATGCAAAATGCCCTGCAACAGCACACTTGTCAATAACAAAACCTATACTCAGAGCAGCCATTTGATGCAACATGAAGGAAACAGCCCTTAAAAAGTGAGTTCCCGTATGTAGCTACAGTATTCCAATACAAAAATAAGCATTAGCAAGACTATCGGGTAACAATCAAGTCAGTGAATTGACCCATTATGTTGTTACTCATACGTCTTGCCAAATACATGCAGAAATGTGTATGTATGTATGTACAGTATTTAAAATATTTTTATCTTGCCTTTCTCCTTGAAAAGCACCCAAGGTGGCTTACAACAATAAAATACACTATTTAAAGTTAAAAACAATTCAAACATTTTAAAATGCCACTCTGAGAAATGGAAAACACAACTAGTAGTAACATTCCAATCAAAGCAGTAATGCATAGCAATTGATCTAAAACTCACATACAGGTAGCTGGTTACTGAGGGAAGGCTTGCCTGAAAAGAAAGGTCTTTGCGTGCTTGCAGAAGGATAGCAAAGAAGGGGCCAGTGGGAGAGAGTCCCAAAGACTGGGAGAAGCGATAGAGAAGGCTCTCCCCTGTGTCCCCATCAGACACACCTGTGAAGGTGGCTGGACCAAGAGGAAAGGTCTTTCCTGATGATCTTAATACCTGAGCCGGCTTATTATGGGAGACATGGTCTTTGAGATAGCTTGGACCCAGGCCATTTAGAACTTTATATGTTAAAACCCAGCACTTTGAATTGTGCCTGGTAACTGATCGGCACCCAGTAGAGCTGCTGTAACAGGGAGTTATGTGATCCCAGCCCTAGTCAGCAATCTGGTTGCTGCATTTTTGATCTTTCAAAGCTTCCTGACACATAAAACAGTGCCCCCAGGTTGCATTCCAGAGAGATGGTCAGGAGGATACTGTGATCAATAGTATACAAGACAAAGGAAGAATCAGAGATGGGCAAAGTTTTGTTTTGGATACATTTTCCCCTTCAACCATGCTGGGGTTTGGGGCATCAGACCTCCATCTGGTTCCAAATTCATGTACAACTCTTATGCCCCCCCAAACGTAAATGCAAAGTATAAACAACTCGTTAAAAGGAAAGCGACAAATGAAAGAGGGAGAAGAGAGGAGAGAGAGAGAGAGAGAACAATTCTATCAGGACTCTCTTCCATAATGATGACAATCCTTTCCATACACTACCATGTGTAATAAGCCTTAGAGGTCCTTATGACCCCCTGATCTAGTAAATTAATAAAAGATGTTGTATGGGGGGGACAAATAGACCATTTTGACACCTTCGGTGTAGAACTCATGGGATTCGGGGTGCCCAGGGACACAACATTTATTGAATAAATGTTATTCATTCATTCATTCATTCATTCATTCATTCATTCATTCATTCATTCATTCACATTCATTTATTTATTTATTTATTTAAAAACGCTCTTTATAATCAAAACTGTGCTGCTCAGACCCATGCAGTTCAAGAGGAAAAGGTAGTTTCATGGGGACACACAAGAACACCTTCTCAGATTTTGGAACTCCCTCTCAATGATGTTAGCCGCCTTTGTATATTCGTCATTTTTAGATTTAAATATTGTCTTTTGCTTATGTAAGCCACATTGGGTCCTTTTCAAGGAAAAACATAGGATAAAAATATTTTACATAAATATAAAATAAAGCTGGGTGGTTTTCTTCTGAGTCCAATTGGAAATTTTCAGACCACATTTAACGATCAGCTTTAACATTTGAGGCGTGGTTAGCTTTTCTAACACCGATCTTCACAGTTCTCCCCTGACCTTTAGACATCCTACCCTCCTCCTGTCTGTGTTATTGTGGAAAACTGTTTTGCAGATTTCTTTGGGCTCAGGATTGCCACATTCTAGGTACCACCGGAAGGAAAAGAGAGATAGAAAGATTCTTGTCTGCCAATTAAATTTACAATCAGAGCCATATCATTCCACTCATATTGAAAGAAGAGCATTATGAGATAGCAGAATACTCAGGAGTAGATTTCCTTTCCTTTTTTCTGGAGTTGCCCTGGGATTATACACCTTACCCAGGCTGGTTTTTCTCCCAGGAGGAATAGTGTGGAATTGAACTCCCAACCTCTAGTTTCCCAACCAAATTCCAAACTTATGGAGCTATCCAGTCAGTGTTGGAAATATAGGCAGTAATAATTACCATAACAGCCATTCATAAAACAGAGGTTGGGTGATGATGACACAGATACAAACCAATTAATACATGGGATGTACAAGGGTACAGCGAAACCTCTTAAATAAACCTTACTCAGCTGTTCTTCTTTGGATTCTACCTCTGAAGGTTCTTTAATCACAAGTGGCCAAGGTCAGCTCCAAAGTGTCCCTGGAAACCAAAATATTTTGAAACACGTGATTTCTTATTTCAGATGTGTTCCATTTATTCTTCCCCACAGAGAGTTGCCTATGTTGAGTGTTGTCAGGCACTGCTGGCGTATTACATCTTAGAAACAGATGCATCACTTGAACTGGTCTGGATTTAAAAAAAGAAAGTGGCAGAAATGAGGTGAGAAAAACTGGGATTGCAGTAATAGTGGGGGCAGTGGGGAATTAATTTGGGTGTGAGTAACAAGAAAGAAATATTTGGAAGGGTGAGTCAGCTGACAAAACGAATGAGGGGGTTCACTAAAATGGTTGGAGATACTGAAGTATCTGGGATGAAAATTAACCTTTTGACAGAAAACTGTTTTTGGCTGGAAAGCCATATCCAACTACTACAACTACAACTATTATAAGGGAAAAAAGAAGAAAGAAAAGAAAAAGGGAAAATTCTTAAATAGGACGACAGAAAATTGAATGTGTTGCTGTTATACTTAGATCATATCAATGGCAGTCAGAATCCATCCAAAAAAGCCATTGAGACTGGCAACCTATTGTTTACAGCAGCCAGGAAGCTGCCTGCAGGAAGTACACAAAGAAGGCTTGAAAACAGTT